AGAGTAATAGAACTCTAACAGGAACACCAATCTGATTCCCCCCCAAAATGTAACATATTAAAGCAATAATCTAATAGCACATAGGATTAGCCCCCAGAAGGAAATGACCTGTTCTTGTTGCTCCTATGCAACTTCTAGTGTATATGGTATAGTAGGTTTACAAGAAATGCTTAGTAATCAACAAAAAATATTCTTTAAAATATGCACTTCTATGAATCCTTTTGGAAGGAAGCAGGTGACTCTCCATTACAGCACTCCAAGCTGGAATTCTGTTCTAAACCTGTTCTGAGCCAGCTCCTCTTTAACATCTTAGAGAACAAAGAAATGCTTCAGATTAAAATTTTCATAGTCAAAGCAGAGGCCTTTGACACCTGCAAATTCTAAGTGTATTAATCAGGTTATACTAAATATTAGCTTGCCCTGAACTCAAATATAAGTGTACTGACATTGTGTAATCAACAACAGCATGGAGGAATTTTTAACACTGTGTGGCATTGCCAGACACAAAGTACATTTGACATCAGGCTGTGAACAATGGAATGCCCTAAAGAGGTGAACAAAGCCCTGTAGGCTTAGCTGCCTACTGGGTCAGACCAGAATATTAGTATTTGCAGATTCATCCTGAATCAGAAATCACTGTATATTAACATTTCAATTTAGAATTTGCTCCTGCATCCTACGGTTTTAACACACTCCTTGTGTTTATGCATTCTCCTATCATTTCCCATTTATACTTTAAACAGTTATCTCAACTGAGACAAAAATAATTGGTTTTCCACCTGGCCATTTCTTTCTCTGAACTACTTCACTATCTCTCTTAGCTACTTCTTCTTCTACCAACTCCTGTCATCAGTGTTATGACATCTTCCTGCCCAATCCAGCTATTTCTCATTCTAAATGCATTTTCTTTTATTGTTGACTAATATCAAAGTTCTCCCTCCCCTTGTTCACAGCAAACACCATGAAAACACAGTGTCATCCTCTCTATGTTTAGCTTTGGGCATCTCAGCAGAGAAACACCATCTTTTAGAATGCTCTGCACAACAACTTCTTTGGATAACAGCAAGATGCCTTGAAAGAATGCTTTTTTCTTTGCTATTAACAGTAAAACCATTGTCTTTTAGAGCTCATGCCTTTAAGACAGTTGAATCACACACACCTGGAAAGTTTTGAAGCTGCAGTGCCATGAATAAGGTCCATATAAAGAAGTTACTTTCTGTGGAGCTGCATTTTGGTGAACTGCAGGCAGGATAAAATTACTTAAGTGCTAATTTGAATGGTAATCAAAGCACCCTCTGGTTTTCAGTAAGTCAAATCCTGTATTACAACCTTCCATGTAACACTGACCCCAAATCCAAGAATATACCTTTCACAAAATTTTGTTTTCCACTGTTTGAAAAGGATGTTTAGAAAGAGGCAGGATATTAGAAGAACATGAAAGTCTGTCATATAGGTGAAAGTCTTTGTCATTTGCTATCTACTTTGCAACGAGGAACTGAATACAACAATTCTAAGTAACCTTTTTCCCACACTTTGTAGGGGGAGTAAAATAAGGGTGACATGGTGAGGAAATATTGTAACACATGACTGTTACCTTCCCAAGGAGCTACAGAGTTGCTGAAAATGTGATAAAAACCTATGAACAATTCAGATGAGTTTGTACTGAGAAGTTTATTCTTTTTTAACAATTGTTATGGTGGAAAAAATATCTCTATTTTCTGGCAAAACAGGCCTGGATTCACACAGGTAATAAGCAACTTTTAGCTAAGTTTCTTTCAAAAACTTAACTAGAACTGAAAAACTTTCTATTGCACAACTTGTCAATTTTCTATTACTTTCTCTCCAAAATACAGCACAACACATTTCACTCTGCTGCTGCACACACACTAAAGCATCAGCCTTTCTGCTTCTATGAAGTGAATTGCAAATCTTATCATCTCCCACACCTCTGCCACGGTCCAGGCAAAGCTGGACCATGCTTCCCAAAATTCCCCACAACACTGTCGTGTCAGCCCTGCTAGACTCATCCTGTTCAGAAGGCACAACAGTTCCCTGGGATGCAGTTTCCCCATGTCTCTGTATGCTGGATATAAAAGGAAGGAAAAGGTCAACACATATCAGAAGCCAGAAGACATCAGTATCTTCAGAGATGCACACACCAAAAACCAGAGCAGGGTAAGGCACATAAAGAGCATTTAGGGAGGAAAGGCAACATCATCCTGGTGCTGCTGTCACACCCACCCTCAGCATTTCAGTGCTACCCAGGAACGAATGCTCAGGCACCACCACTATCACAGAAGGACAGAATGGTTTGGGTTGGAAAGAACCGTAAAGATCACCTAGTTCCAACCCCTTGGATGGGCAGGGACACTTTCCACTAGCCCAGATTGCTCCAAGCCCCATCCAACTTGGCCTTGAACACTTCCAGGGATGGAGCAGCCACAGCTTCTCTGGGCAGCCTGTGCCAGTGCATCAGCACCTCACAAGGAACAATTTCTTCTTAATATCTAAATCTACCCTCATTCAGTGTAACAACATTCCCCTTGTCCTGTCACTCCAGGCCCTTGTCAAAAGTCCCCCTCCAGCTCTCTTGTAGCCCCTTCAACCTTCAGGTACTTGAAGGCCACGATATGGTCACCCTGGAGCCTTCTGGACAATTCCAATTAGCTCAGCCTTTCCTCATAGGAGAGGTGTTTCATCCCTCTAATCATCTTTGTGGCACTCCTCTGGAATATATTCTTTATTTCCTGTCTACTCACCCAAAACCTTCATTTCTACTACCTTTTTATCCCCCTTATGATCACATTTGATATGAACGTTGTAAAAACTACCAAGAGAATAACATCTGGACATACTTTTCCAAACAGTGAGTGTGCAGCTGTCATAAATGGCTCCTTGGTTTTACAGATACTTCTCAAGGTATGTGGAATCACTGAGTTATTAAAAGGCAGTAACTCAAAAAGCACCTGACCAACAGGCATGCAAGAGAAAAATGCAGTTAATTCCTTTAGAAGATCTGACTACAGGGCTGTGATTTCACAAATTATTTTATTTGCAGTACATCTAGCATAAGATTTTGGAACTTCCATACCAATGTGTGTTCATCCTCACCACCTTTCTTTCCATCATGTGGCAAAAGCAGATTTTCAGATGTAACTGGTTTTCTTTTCTTTTTTTCTCCTAATTAAAAATAAACCAGTTTGGTATTTGAAAGTTATTTGCATACCTCTTGGTAAAACATCTCTCTGTCAGACCACCTCACCTCTCATTACATCTCCAGACAAGGCATTATGCCCTGCACAACCTCTGGTAGAGCTGTAGCTTGTACTGCAGATGAGCTCACACATGTGTGACACAAATGTGGTACCACTCTGCTGATCTGTTACATTCTCCTTCTGAGCACACAGTCCAAAAATAAACTCACAAAACAAGTCTGCTATTCTGGGGATCTGAACTGTTGCTCACTCAGTCCCAGGGACTCCTGATTTTGCCATTTTCTATAGTTTTCCTTTTCCTGGAGTAACAGCACTTTTCTCTCAGATATATCAACCAACATTTCTCTGTTCAGGGTATGTATTATTTTGCCTGTAACTTTGGCTTTTTTATTATCTTATACTCCTACTGTTATTCATTCCCAAAATCTCATTTAAAATACCAAATAAAGATGACTGCATGCACTGGAAGCTTCTGCTTAGCTGTCTTAAAAAACCCAAACAAAACCCACACACCTGGATCTGCCTGCTCCCTGTATAACCTAGGAAAAGCTTTAAAGAGCTTACTACAAAGGCCTCAAACACTACAGTAAGTTCCTGAAAAGTCAGAAGTTCCTTAGCTACATTGAAAGCAGACAGACCTATGTGGGATTTTTCTATTTTTTTGCTAGCTAACCAGAAATGCCCAGTGGGATGAAGTTTTCTGAAAGAGATTCTTATGTCTTTGTCACTACTTAGTACTCGCACTGCCACACACTACTTCAGGTCACAAGCAATTTATAAGAGCTAAAAAAAGGCAGTGCTTTATTTTTATTTAATTGCTGGTAAGTACTAATGTCAGTGAATATTATATATCAAGTCAGTCAAGCAATAGATTCACCTATATAGTCTATATTCTTCTGGTCAGTAATGAGTGTCAAGTTGATTGCTGAGCAGCTAAACCACAAAACAGCTCCCCATTCCAAATCAAGGGAAGTGAAGGCATTTTCAGCTTCCCCCACACTTTTGAGCTAAGTTTTTTTCTTGTTTTAAATATTCTACTTCAGTAAACTCAACCACAATTTATCCTTTACTTAGCAATCACACACTCTTGTTTATACAAACACCACATGCTTGTATGTTATTCTTTTGTTCTCTAATTACAGTTCTCCTGTTATTTTCTAGAAAGAGTAAAAGAAGCAAGAATATGAAATATCTGCTCTTAAAAGGCCATTGGCACTGTTATCCTTACATTCATGCATGTCTTGGACTTTCTCCTGCCCAGACACTGCAAAGCTGCTTTGACAAATAGACTCTTTCATTCTGGAATAGCTCATCAATATACAGATGAGCATCACATCACTTCTGGGCAAAGTTTTACAAGTCTAAGAGTCGTGCAAGAGAGACATAAAACAAAGTGTCTCCATAAAAATGGGAAACATAAACCCAATGCAAAATACTATTGCACTTGGCTCTGTCACATCAGTGGCATAAGAACATATTTTTAAAGGTCTAAGACAACTGATAGTCAAAGTGTGCAAACACTTTGACCGCTGGTAGGGAGTTCATGAAGATAGGTATGCTTCATCATACTATTACACAGATCTACACACACAAACAGCTTTGCACAAGGTGATGGCACAATACACTAGAATGCACTCAGGGGTTTAGACTCCCATTTCAGGATGTACCCACACTGCAGCACTACTGTGGGACACAGCTACTGAATTCTAACGGGTAGGTGAGAACTGGCAACACTTGTGGGCAGACAGTAACAGACATTAACACAGGAGAAAGGAAGAAACCCACCTTGAGGAGCTCATAGTGCTGGATACCATTGACACCGATGTCCGGATCGATGGCAGATGGCACCGAGTAGCGCGAATTAATTGCTGTGTTTTCAGGGATAGAGATGTTAATAACCGTTGAGGGGAAAAGGGGAGCGTTGTCATTTATATCCTCTATTAGGAATCTGATCTTGACCAGCCTGAAAACTTCATCAGGCAAAACAGCAACCTCCACCTCGTAGAAGCAGCGATTCTCAGCGACGATGCCAGAGCAAAGCTTCTCTCGGTCTATGCGGTTTGCAGCTGTGAAGATCTCCCCAGTGTTCTCCTCCACCCTCACTAGTGGTACATCCCCAGTCTTGTACACCAGCTTGAACTGCAGAGGGGAGGAAAGGGGCACATCTGGGTCCAGGGTTAGGTTAAGATCCTTGAGCAAATTGCCAATGAGGACATTTTCAGGCAGTTCTTCCCGCACGGTATAATTCTTCTCCTGTGCGCCAGATTGGAATACAATACAGGCTAATAAGACTGCCAAGAGGTAGGTTCCAGACAGCAAGTCCATCTCCAGAATGACTAATGAGTATTCGTGTAGAACACCAGGAGTAGCTGGAAAAAAAGGAAAAGGAAGATTCAAATTCTTACAAAGTCACAGTATATTGTGTTCTTAAAGCGATGGAGACATGGCAAACAATTTGAACACTCTGCAAACCCTATTGGCAAAGTGGCATTTGACTTAATCCTTTGTAAAAATGCATAACATTTCTTGCACAGCTTTTTACTTAAAACTATTAACACAACACTGAGGTAACAATATTAAAACTGGATCAGATTGAATGAAGAAATAAGCACAGAAATCCCTATTTCCAGCATGAGATTTCTCTTTGCTCCTCAGGAAAACCTCTTCCTTTGATCCCTCTGCCACACTGTCCTCAATCTTTTTTTGTTTCCTAAGTAAAAAGTAGGCAAGAGGTTTGCAAGCACCATGTGGTGAGAACCAGATCTTTTTATACCTCTTGCTTAAAGAAGGAAAACCAAGAACACTTGTCTTAATTCTCCCCCAAGTTTTGCACTGTCAAAATTATGTAATGTTTGTTACCAACAACAATGAAATCTGATTATTTTTAATTCAGGAACTTAAAATGGCAGGAAAATGTTATCTAGATAGAGTCTGGTGAGCTTCAGCAAACAATGGGTAGAAATCTGTCTAGTGAGCTGTAGGAAATTTCACACAATTTTAAATATGGTAATGTCTGTTCATACATAAGCTAAGTACTCTGGAATACCAATATCTTTAAAGTGAGATACAGGTTTGCTCTGTGCAAAAGAAAATTCTGTGCTTTTCAAACCAGTTTCTGAGTAACAATATATTCCCTCTCAAAATTGTTAACAACCTCAACTTACATACAGATATCTGTGTAGCTACATAAAACCTTCAGCCAAGAATTTGTAAGAGAAAAATCACACTGTTCAACTCCATGTCTAGAATATGCTGCTTTGCCTGATCTTTACATAATTCTGCCATTCCAGAATTTAGAAATTTACAGCATTTCTGTAACGTAAAGGTTCAAGAGTTCCATGTAAAATTAGTTTTTTAATTAATGAAATCTTAGCTCCTACCAGCTTAGCATCTGGTTCAAATACACCCTGCGCCAACACATCTACATTCTCTTCATTGTGCAGGTAAAAATGTAATTTTGCCTCCTGTCTCTTCTCATTTCATTCTCCCTGTCATAGCAGAGATTGATTTACTCCTGCAGATCAAGTTGCAGTGGTTGAAGAAATTACTGAAGCCAATAATTGCCTTCACCCGTTAGTTACTGCCTTTCAGCACTGCCACTTTCAAGGTAATTTAAGCTAAAACATTTGATTTTGCTCTGAAACAGATTAGGAACAATTAATATTGCTATTCCATTTAAACCCCGAGAACTGCTTTTGATCAGGAGCAGGGACAAAGAACATTCCAACTGGATCCACCAGGTGCATCTTTTCGAGTCAGCACAACTGAACGGCAAAGCATTTTCTGGCTTGAGGATTGCACAAAAGGAGCCACGTGAAATCCAGTGCTGAAAGTCTTCACTTCTGAAAAAAGGCATTGCTCATCAGAGTAATTCAATTAACCTCCGTGAGATTGCTGACACGGCTCAGAACAGGATGTGTGTGGTGCAGTTACCCATTACCTGCAGCATTTTGGCAACTTGCTGGCCACACTTTAGGAATTCTGAGTACAACAATGCACAGTGCAGCACTAACCAGGTGTCAGGAGGGAAGTAACAGTGCAGGATAAACAGCCATTTGACAAATCCATGATAATATTAAATTCTAAATATGCAAATAAGGAAGTCATCAGCAGTTACTGATTATCATGACTGGAAACACTACAGGAGCAGCATGAATTTAATGAAGTAACTGTGGTGATGTTGTACAAGTATATTAGTTTGGTGAGTATGATTTTATTTATTAACTAGCTTATGTTGCTTTAAATACATCTCCAGCAACTGTCACCCCAGTGAAGTAATTGTCCATGGACACTGAACCTGCAGAGAGCTCTTATTACAAGAAAATACATCTTTGCATCCACTATTATTAAAATAAATACATTTACATTGTTTCCCATGCAGAACACAAATAGAAATGTATGGGTTACAATGATAAGCTGATATTTAAATGCTCTCCTGAAAACAAAATTCCAGAATGGTTCTATGTTCTATAGCTACTGGAAAGCAATATTCAGCCACTTCTTCTCTATTAGAAGTTAACCTGAGAAACAACAAAATGGGGGGAAAAACCCAACCTTCACATCCTGATGTTTACAGAGTCATAATTTAAACTTATCATTCATTTCTGAGGGGAAGAAATGAAAACAACAACGACAAATATAAATCAAATTCTAGTCCCTATCCCCAATTCTTTTGTGACAATATTGATGTAAGTATTGCTTATAGATTATAAGAGTATAAAAATACTGTATAGACAGGTATGTAAATCTTCCAAATAATCTTATACTATAAAAAACCATTTTGGTTATTAACAAGGTTATTAATGCTACATGGCTCCTCTCTTAGTTTTGAAGGTACAAGGAATTTTAGCCACACTCAAGAGTTTGTGTTTTATCTGTCATGTTTTACAAAGCAATGTGAGTACGTAAAAGAAACAGCCTAAAGAGTTCATCAAAAACTTGTCTGAATCAGTTCTGAAAGATGTGATAGTATCTGCAAATAACTTATATTAAAAATAATTGATAAGAATCCCTATATCCACAGTTTTACCTGCAGTCAAGTTTCCAGGGGTTATACAATAACAACAGCAGGACTCAAAGAGGTTTGTCAGGAAAACTGCAGGGTGGAACTTAGCATTGCATTCCTATGCATATTTTTATTGACTTTTCTTAAATTAAACAAGGTTTGAACCACTCTGTTAAAATCATGTTTGTGTCATAATAAAGGAAACATTTCAAAGCCTGAAAATAGCAGAGCACCACTCTGATAAATCATGCCAGATAAATGGTAACAGGACTTTTTGTAGTCTTTACTGCCATAGACTTTCCTGAATGACTAAAGGGTAGGCATATAATATGCAGTGTTAGGAGTTTTAACAGGAAGAACCAACCACCAGTGGCTTACAATGCTTGAACTTCTGTAGAATACACAATTTTTTAAATGGCCTTTACCTTTTCTAAACAATTCTATGAATAGTTTTGAAACTTCACAAACTGTTCCAGAGCTGTAGGACTTCAAGGAGAAAAAAAACCACAACATGACTTAAGTTTTCTGCTTAGACATACAGAAGAATATCTTATGTCATGGGGAAAGTGTTGTTCTTACAGAAACCTATTTATGTAGTCAGAGCTCTATGTTGCCTGTCATTTGTGCCATACCTCTGGCAGCAATTCTATGGCAACAGCAATGCAAAGAAAAAAGAGCATGAGGTACTTTCCAGCAACCAAGCATCATCCCCAAAGACATTTAGGAAATCAGAGTATTTCAAACTGGAGTAGAGAGGGAACAAAAAGTACAGAAGGCTAAACAGAGAAGTCCAAACTCCAAAGGACCTTTCGTAAACTCCAGCTCTCACTCACACTTTTAAGGCAGTAAAAAAAAAGTGAAGAACAAATAAAATTGGTTAACAGAAGGTAACTTCAGCTTGCCAAGCCATTTTCCCAGCTTTCAAAAGAATGCATCGCTGTCTGTGCTGTTGACTTCCCAACTAGGAAGGCAAATGGCCCAGATGGACAAGATGGAGGGTAGGAGGGAAAAAAAATCTGAAACTTGCTCCCCTTCATCTGCCTATCTGTGCACTTAACTACACCTGTTTTCACATCCAATATACCAAATATTAATGGCAGAATTTAAATATTATCATTGCTCGTTATTATCTTCATTTAGCAGCTGTCAAATCATACCTTGAAAAGTAGAGAGAATATCAAACTGTAACCACCTAACGGAGTAGGATGTGAAGGTAGAAACTAAATCTGTTCTTTATACACCATCTGGTCCCACCTGAGTCAGAATTTTTGTAGCTTATTACAGGACTTAATTGTTACTTCTTACTTAAGAGAATGACAGAAAATGAGTAAATGGGGTAAAGGGTTCAAGTGCCCAGATGAAAAAGCAACACTTCTAGACACCTGAGTTCAGATTTGACTTAGAGCAGGAACAAATAAGCTATAGGAATATTTTGCAACTGTTACATCAAGTTTTAAGTAAAAAAAGCATCATATTTTAAAAATTAAGGAATATTACACTTAAGTCCAAAACTACAACAATATCCAATTAATGATATCATAGTGGAGAAGAAATCCGGAAAATATCACTCCCATTCTTATCTTCCCATTCCTGAACCTATTTTAATTACTTGGACAAATTTAGCTGGTAGACCACACTTTTTCAATATAATATCCTTTCATTTGCTGCCAATCCACCGTGGGCTCCTTAAATAGGAATGTTTAAATCCCAGTATGAAAACAGTGTTTCTCAGAGCAAAAGATCCCCATGACAAGGGCCCTGTCTGTCAGTCAATACCATGATTAGAATGTTCTTTTACTGAGCAGTGAACTATTTGCCACTATTTCACTTCCAAAGACTTCCTCTAAAGTGCCTGCTGATAATTAGTGGCTCTATGCTCTATGTAACAGGTTTTGAATTTTTGGATCATGCTGATATGGATTTCAACTTTATCCAGCTGCTGGACTGGTAGGTAGGATCTTTTCTGACACTGCCAATTTTTAGTGTTTGGTGTTTTAGCTGTTGGTTTTCTGTTTGCCATAAGTCCCTAACGTGCCTCCACACAGCAATATCTCTCCTTTGCCACCACACATCAGGTTTCATTCCAGGAACTAGCTGGGTTGGATAGTCGTTAGTTTTTAAAAGGGAAATACTCTACAGATATTTTTTACTGATTTTGATGAGAAGAAACACTACAAAGCTGTTGCCTGACAGGAATCCCCCTCATTTTTTAAGACCAGGCACAAAAGATAACAACCAACCTGAACTCATTTTCACACTCTATAGTGTTTCAAACATAAATTATTTTGCAGCCATCAATATTTATCCACAGGATCCACTC